TTGGTGTAGAAAAGGTCAATCAACCTCCACTCCCCTCATCCCCGACAGAAGAGCAAGCTGTTCTTTCCCTGTGTTTCTATTTTCAGAAAGCCCCAATCAGTTCTCTGGACCAAGCACTTTTTAAAGAAAATGGGCCAGCGAGTCCTCTACGGATGAGTCACAATAACTGAAAATATCAGAGTGGAACAATGGAGCTACTGTCCTACCAGAAGAGAGCCAAAAATAGTTGTTTTTATAAGCCTATTACCTGATTCTCACCCTCATCCTCACCSAAGACCTTTTGAAGATTTCTAGCGAAAGTATACTACACAAGACTGTGCAGTACTAAGACTGAAGAGATAGCAGAGGAGGTATCCCTAGGGTTAAGCAGAACATGGCATAATTCCGGGTTCTTTCTGTTTAATCAAATGTTTCATTATTCACTGCAACTATTTTCCCTTGCACATAAAAATCCATCCATTTGGGTCTTAGCATAAATGAAAATGAAGTTTACTCTAACTTGATTTTCCCCAGCAGTCACATAGATGTTGAAGCACATACCTGGAATGATTGCAAGTTTGCCCTCAGGCCTTTCATGAAGAGTAAAACCCACTATGTTAGAGGAACATGTGGAAGTGCTGTAGCTAATGTAGATAGGACTTTGTTATATTCTTGCAGACAAGACATGTAATATCCTGTGTTTTTATCACTCTCACCTTGATACAGATCTATGCTGAGTTAGGTTCTGTACTCAATCAAGAAAAAAAATGTGTCRTACCATGGCAGGGATGTTTGGCCTAAATTCAAAATGAGCTGTTTTAGATGCTTGAACTGAAAATTGTAGTAATTAAAAGAATTAGATTTTCACAAGTATTAAACATCTATCCGCGAAATGAGAGAAAGAAAAAAAAGCTTTTTTTTTTTTTTAATTTGGACATATGCACACAAAAAATCCACTAAAACAAGCCTATATAACTTTCCCAACATGAAGAGCTCTTGAATGAGCCACAAAATGCTCATTTTACAAAACAACTAGTTGGAAACAAGTGAAACAAGTGATTTGTTCAAAACTAATGCAGAGGAGGGTCAAGCCCCAAAGTTAGGTATTTCAAGTGGTCACTCTCTACTGGAAGCTCACAGTTAATTCTGCATGCATTTTTTAAAAACCATTATGGAAGTTGTCACATTCTGTGACATATTGGTCAAAGTTCCCATCCAAATAAGGAGATTTTCTTAACCTCAGACCTACTTTTGAGATGTGCACACATCCAAGCACAAGCACACACACACACAAGGCAACAAACCCACACTGTCATGGAATCAAATGACATTCTTTAAAAGCATTGGGCTAGGAGAAGGGGCCAAAAGCCTTTGGCAGTGTTCAGACCTCCCAGCCTGAGAAGAGAGAGGCTTCTAGGCTCCTTTGTGGCTGCATACATTTTGCCAACTGATTTTTAGACCACAGGAACATGATGAGAGCTTTAAAATGTCCTCTACCCTATCCATCCTGTTTTTCCCCTTTGTTGTGACTAGTCTAAAAATGGAATGTGTGAGGATGCAAGGCAAGGAGAGGGGTTATTTTTCCACATCAACCCAGTTCATCCTGAAACGTTTGTCTTGAAAACTTAACAGCTAATAATTTGTTTGCATGGTTCTTCACTTTAGCATAAACATTTTGTAAACCCTTGCGCAGATTTACTAGCTACAAAGAGATGCTTGAGTCAGGTTCTATGTTCCTTCCCTCAGGGCTATTTATATTAAAAGGAAGGAAATACGAATGACTGAATGGATATAAGACAATTAGCAAGACGGTTCAAAACTGCGAAAGGACCATCCCATACCTTGGGCCTGCTCAGATACCAGTCAAATCCCTGTTGCCTTTAYGTCTTGTCACATGCTTGCTCTCAACCATGCAACCTATGATCATGGGACTCTGTTTTAGCAAGCCATAGCAGGTAGACAAAAATGAACAAACAGGATCCAGTCCCATGGTCTATTTTTCCAGTCAGAAAAAACTAACTTCAAGTCAGACACACTGATATTAAGCCTACGGCTTTATTAGCCAAAGCAATGCTAATTCCTCTGAAGGCATGGTGCTGTGTTACACTGCAGACAGGCAGAGTGCTAGTGCATCATGGGCGACTATCCTGGTTACCTGCTGTGATGAGATGACTAGATGTTTATTTTTACTTTAGCTAGGCCTTTGACAGGGTCTGCTACTGTGTTCTTATAACTGATTTGGGGTGGTATGGACTTGACAAGTGGACTACAGAAGTGGAAAATTACCTGGAATGTCAYGCTCAAAAGTTGATGATCAGTGGAACAAAGTCCCACCAGCAACTGGTTACTAGTGGCATCTCTCAAGGATCGGTTTTGGGACCAACGCTATTTAACATCTCTATTAGTTTCTGGTTGACAGTATTCAGTTCGCTCTAATAAAAATTTGACAGCAAACTGGGAGGGATCGTCAAGGTGCTGTTGCACATGACTGCTGCTGAACGAGACCTTTATATGCTGGAGGACAGCTAACAAAAACATCACAAAGTTCAACACAGACAAATGCAAAGTCCTGCCCTGAGATGATACAAATCTCTGCAAAGCAGGCTGAGTTGCTAAAAAGAGGCTTTCTAGAAAAAGACTCATGGGTCTGGACAGATGACAAGCCGAACGTGGATCAGCAGTTTGCCCTTGCGGCAAAGAAGYCCAGCCATCTACTGGACAGTACTGGCAAGAGAGAAGGTTGGGAGAAGGGACTATTGCCATTTATTCAGTGCTTGTGAGACTGCGTCAGGAGTACTGTGTCCAGTTTGGGGTTCCTCATTACAAGACAGATATTGGTATATTGGTTTGTTCAGACTTAAGGACAGAAGGATGAGAAATCTTGAACTCCTGAAGAGGAGGATATAGAGAAGATACCTCCAGACTCATTTGAAAGGACAAAAGGCAGAAGACAGAAGTTCTAACTCCCGATAGAAAGACAAAAAACTCAACTAAGTCAGTTAAACAAGTCACCCAGGGAGGTTGTGGATGCACTATCCTTATGGATAATCAAGATACAATTGGACAAGACTCTAGTCTACCAGATCAGATTGGCCCTATTTTGAACAGAGGGTTGGACTAGCTGACCTCCAGAAGGCGTTTCCAACCTAAATTACTCCATGATTCTGTTATACAGCTTGATAAGATACAAGACAGGATTGGAGAATTAAATAATACATTGGATATAAGCAAGTGAAATTTATTATTGAGATTTCTTTTTTTCATAGTATCTTAGGAAGGACATGGAGAAATTCTGACATTCAGTGGCACTGAAGTCAGATAGATAGAATCACAGAATCATAACATCCTTAAAGTTGGAAGGGACCTCTAGACGTCATCGAGTCCAACCCCCCTGCACACGCAGGGACACCCAGAGCATGTGGCASAGAGCAGCATCCAAGCAGGTTTTGAAGATCTTCAGAGAAGGAGACTCCACAATCTCTCTTGACAACCTGTTTCAGTGTTCTGTCACCCTCACTGTCAAGAAATTTTTCCTTAAGTTCCTGTGGGACTTTTGATGCTTCAGTTTGTGGCTGTTTACTCTAGCTCTATCAGTGGCCACCATTGAAAAGAGGCTGGCCGGCTCCCTCAGCCTTTCCTCATAGGGSAGATGTTCCAGGCCCTTTATCATCCTCATAGCTGCACTGGACTCTCTCCAGCAGCTCCACATCCCTCTTGTACTGGGGAGCTCAGAACTGGGCACAGTCTCCAGATGTGGCTTCACCAGAGCAGAGTAGAGGCGGACGGTCACCTCCTCCCTCGACCTGCTGGAGACGCTCTTCTTAATGCACCCCAGGATCCCGCTGGCCCTCTTGGCCACAAGGGCACACTGCTGTCTCATGGTCAATTTGTCATCTGCCATGATCTCCTCTCTGCTCTCCAGAAGGTCATTTCCCAACCTGTACTGGTGTCTGGGTTATCCCTCCCCAAATGCAGGACCTTGTATTTGCCCTTGTTGAACTTCATGAGATTTCTCACTGCCCAGTTGTCCAGTCTGTCCAGGTCCCTCTGGATGGCAGCGCAGCCCTCAGGGCCATCAGCTACTCCTCCCAGTTTGGTATCATCAGCAAACTTGCTGAGGGGGCACTCCATCCCTTCATCCAGGTCATTGATGAATAAGTTGAACAGGACSGAACCGAGGAGACTGACCCCTGGGGGACACCGCTAACTACAGGCCTCCAACTGGACTCCACGACACTGACTACCACTCTCTGTACMCTGCCACTGAGCCAATTCCTAATCCACCTCCCCATCCACTCATCTATCCCACACCTTCGGAGCTCGCCCAGGAGGATGCTGTGAGGGACGGTGTCAAAAGCCTTGCTGAAGTCCAGATAGATGACATTCACCGCTCTGCCCTCATCTATCCCGCTAGTCACTCCTTCATATAAGGCGATCAGGTTAGTCAAGCATGATTTCCCCTTGGTGAATCAATCCTGACTAATCCTGAGTACCTAAGAATAGTGGGACCCAGGCACTTACACCCYAATGACTATTTTGTACTTCTCTGTTTTCAAAAATGCATTTCATCTGTAATTCTGCTGTACTGAATTCCAGGATTCTTGGCTTAAGCAGAATGACCATGGATCTTTGCAGTGTTGATTTAGATCACAATACAGATTTTACCCCTGGAACATCATTCCTTGGAGACAAGATTATTTATTTGTTTGTATCAACTCCAGATGGGATTTTAAGGGTAGAAAATGAGTCATTTTTCAACAAAAACTGCAAGTACGACCAGTTTTACAGCTTTTTACTATGAGGTTATGCCTAATAAAAACGTAGACACACTTACAGACATCTAAAGACAAAATTTACACACTATTGTGTGAAAAGTTCCCATACAACATTTTGCCCACCATTTCTGCTAGATATATCCCACCTTTTTGTGTTGCCTTACCTTCTCTTTCACATTCCTCCTCTGTCAAATAGGAAGATGTCAAATGTTTTTAATCATATCAGCACCAGTCTGTGAATCTTTCACAGATCTCTGTAGAACAAAGTTTTCACCCACTCATTTCACAATTTCATGTTATTTTGTTTTATGATTGCTATCTGAAGATGGAGGGTGTCTTCCTCTTCTTGCTTTATGGGAAGAATGATGGATATTCAGAATGTACAGGAGTTTCAAAACAGACGAAGTGATCAGCACATACCAGAAGCATTACCTAAACGTTCGACAAAAAGGTGTATTTCAAAATTTCATCCAAATTTGCAAACTTTGTGTATGTGGTACCTAAGTGCTGGGGCTCCTGTATCACAAAGTCTTCAACCTGTCCATATATTTAAAGAAGACAAGTCAGGAGCTGTTCTTTGGCACTGCAGTCAGCTGTCCAGCAGCTCACATCCAGACAGCTAAGCCCTTTCACCTCCTCAAATTAAGGTGCCTGCAGCCAAATTATCTAGTGGGAATGGCCCCTGGCCAGTACTAGTCCCCAGACAGTGCCCAGGCTTTGTCTGCAGAAGTACTAGCTGATGTGGGCTGAAACCATGCTAATAGCTTTGCAGTATGGGCAATTACACAGCAGTGCTCAAGGCTATACCTTGTCCCTGTTTAACCTATTAATATACATGTAGCTGTAACCTTCTAAGGCTTTCAGAGCAGCATGAATTTCCTCTCCTTGCCATAGCAGAATAATGGCTTCTGTTAAACCAAAGCACGATTGGAATTCAAGAATCATGTCATGAATGGCAGAAGAAGAGAGGGACATTRCATAATCTTAGAATCATCATTATTTATCAGAGCCAATTGTTAAGCTGACTTTTCAGGTCTAAGACAACTTTCTTCAGCAAACTGCATGGTAGTCACATGTCAACGTCTAAAATGTCTTCAAAGTTCTGGAAGCACAATCATAGACAAGCTGGACCAGGAGACAGATCAAATATGGCATGTCTGTCGCTTACAGCACGGCTTCCAAAGCTCCCAAAGACACACCTCTTCTTTTAAGGTCATGTTTCTAACTCCTTCCACAGTTTCACTGCACAACATGATGGAGCTGCATCCCTAAGGGGCATCTTTTACAAGCTCATGCTGCCTCCCATTTATCATCATACTGGAAGTGTTCATGAATTACTCTCCACATATACTAGTTTATTTAGAGATAATTTGAGTTGCTGTATCTGTGAACAGGGCCTTTCATTGAAAACCTGGGCGCAGCCAGACTGAGCAAGGGCTTGTGGGAAGCTGTGCTGAAGTGTTTCAAGCAAATGGCACCCCAAACAGTTCCAGCTCTGCAATGCCAACATGCAGCCCGCAATGTAAGGGAAACACCATCGTGAACAGCAGTCACTTTTTGCTCGGCCAAAAGCAGAAGTTCTACATATTTATTTAAACCCAGCGGACTGTTAAAGTATACACATGTAATACTGACCACAAATGCAGCAATGATGTTTCAGCAGTGTCTTGTTTTCCATTAACTCTTTCTCTCCAGTCAGATCATAAATAGGTAGTTCCTGTGAGGGAGGAAAAAAAAAAAAAAAAAGAGAAGGAAACAAAGCGTATTAAATTAGGGAATAAAAACATTGATTCTTTCTGCCTGGGAATAACTTGGGGTTTGTGCTAACAGAGTCTGAGTAGAGGCCAGGTTTCTTCCCTTTTAGAAGTACAGCTTGAAAAAACACTTCATTAGTAGATATTTAAGAATTTTATTACAGTATAAGCAATAGCTACTTGCTCTGTAAGTATTAATAGTAGCATTAAGCAGATTCACATCAATTACTTTACAATTAAATTTGGATTCATAGCTGTGGAGAAAAAAAAAAAAAAAGGATACCCATGTACAACTGTGCATTGACAAATCATTACCTAGAATGGTAGTACTACTCAAAAACCACATGTGAACCTCCCTGGTCTTTCTGTATTTTCAGTTCAGCATTTGCAATTCTCCTTCTGTTCTTCTCAGAAAGAAGATTGTGAGCTCTCAGCAGSTAATATGTGGAGGACATTGTCATTTGTTTAGTTGGAGGCGAAAAGTCCATCCTTCAGTAGTGGAGAGCACAGGCTAGTTCCTGTTGGTCAACAGGATTAATATTAAAACATAAAAAGTAGTCTGCTATGCAATTGCAATGATGTTCCAAAGCTGTAAAATCTGGGCTAAAGATAATTAGCTTGACTGACAACATGAAAGAAACATAGAGGTCTGAGAATATACATTGCTGTATAGCTGGTGCTATCATGTGCATTGCCTGTAGCTTATACTGATACATATAATTACTGATATCACCATGAGCCCCAAATTAGGCCACCTACTGCATTGGTCTGTGCAAACTGATACCGACTCTTTAGTTAATAACTGACCTTGGGAGAACCAAGAGAACTCGCCCTGCTTCCCTGGAGTTGACAAGTCTATCTAGCAATTCCCTGTCTTAGTATGAGGCACAAATTTTCAATATCACAGCAGTCAAGAGACTGACAAAACCAAGCTCATTCCTTATTGTACCATCTGGTTTCTAGGTGTTGGCAAAAAGGCCCAAAACCTTGACTGTTGGATGCACCAGCACCAAGAAAACTACATTAATGAAAACCTGCAATACTGATGCAGGTACAAAACTGCCTATATTAATAGTCGTTCATGCTACTCAGAATTTTACTTCATCTAGATCTGAAGAAAGAAGTATTCATTATATACCTTGATTTTGGGAAGGTATCTGATATTGTCTTCTTGTTGACAGCTGATGAGATTTGGGCTGGACATACAAAATGTCAGATGGATTGAACACTGGCTGAACTTCTGAGCTCAAAGGATGCTGGCTCAAAGTCACACTGGCAGCTGGTCACAAATAGATTTTCAATACTATTCAATATCTTTCCAAAATTGAATGCACCTTTTTCAAGTTTGTAGGTAACACCAAATTTTGAGAGGAGGTGGACATACTGGAAGAACTGCCATATTTGGAGATCTTAACCAGATGGAAGATTTGGCCAACAAAAATGAGATTTAACATGAAGTTTAACAAAAATATATGTAAAGTCCCGCACCTGAGATGGAATAATTCCAAGCAGTAGTACCATATGAGCACTGACTGACTACATGGTAGGTCTGCTGAAAAGGCTCTGTGTTTCTTGGTGAAGCTCAAACTGAACACAAGCCAGCAGTGTGTCCYAGAAGCAAGGAAGGCCTACAGCATCCTGGGCTGGATATCCCACTGCCTCTGGCATTGTTAGGACACACCTCAAATACCTCCATTTTTTTCTTCTTGAATGCCTAGAGAAACTGGCAAATGAAGAAAAGCTGAAGGAACTGATTTTGTTCCRCCTTGAGAAGAAAAGGCACAGAGAGAATCTAATCACAGTCCCTAAAATCTGGTCCAATCTCTAAAATCTGGTTACAGAGAAGATGAATGTACTTTCTTCACAAGTATACACAGTGACATGACAAGAAGCAAGAGGTACAAGTTTCTTTAAAAAATTCAAGCTATATATGTTGCCCATGGAAGGGGTCAAATCTCCCTAATTGGAAATATTAAAGACTTGACCTGACATGGCTCTGAACAACCTAATCTAAGGTCCTGCTTTCAACAGAAGTTGGACCAGATGATCTCCAGAGGTTTCCTCCAACCCAGACATTTTTGTGTTTTTAAGTTTTTTCCATTTTCTTCTTAGTGTTTACTTTGCAATGGGTTTATGTCAGAGGAAACCAGGGGAAAAAAAAATATTTTGAGCCTTTGAATTTGGAGCAGAAAGCAGTAAGGATGAGTCGATACCTGTCCTGCAGAAAAGTTGAAGACAAAAAGGGTTAAAGATCTCCTACTAACGCAGACAGCAGCTCCAGCTCCCACATACTCAGACGTATAATGGCCTGGGTTGCACTCTAACCTGGACACCTGGCAGACATCCTCCATGCCAGGTTTTCACCCAGTCAGACCCTGCCTGGAGGGGCAGTGAGTCTCAGACTCCATGCTGGCCATGTTTCTCCTGACTGCTGGCTTGCTTCATGCTCCACGCTGTGTGCCAGGGCAAAGCAGGAGCCCTGCCCTTCCGTCTCCTCCATAGCGTGAGCTGGTATGCAGCCTCTGGGTGGGTGCAGCAAGTCTCCCATGAAAGCTGGGAAAAGTTACTGGTGGAGTGTACTGGTGGAGCAACTGGCTGCAAAGGTCTTAGCCCACCACAAGACACTGCCACAGACTGATCTACAAACYCTAGTAAAGGAAAATCCATCACTGGTTATAGCCCATGGCTGGCAGCCTAAGTGTTAGCCATGGTAGCAAGAAAGCCGGCATGAGGCAATCAGGTTGTGCCGTGTGATTTTTGGCTGGGAACCATTAAGCTCACAATCCCACCCRGCAACAATGAGACATTTCCCTACTGGGATCCATACTGAGATGAGCATGATAAGAGGGGTGGATTTATCAACTGCATGAAAGCTTTCCTGTCCTGCACGTGGAGGCTGGAGGAAGCACGAGCCGACACTCAGCAGAAGGCAGCCAGGAAGCAGAAGCCATGGGGAATGGGGTGGCATGGAGCCAGCCCTGGGTCAGCACGCATGCGCTTGGGAGGGCAGTCAGGTGTACTGAGCGTCGCAGCACACCTTTGGGGTGACTTATATCAGCTTGAAACCACTTAGGTTGCATAAGCCACCCTTCCAGAATTGCTTCAGACAAGCAATGATTCCCACCCCAAGGAGCTAGACGCATGGCTAATCCCCACCTCCTCCTTGCTCTGGCCCTGGCTCCTAATGTGCCTGAAGTGAAAAAGATAGAYGGCTCCATAATTATTAAACACAAGGAGATGTCTCAGATGATGGGAACTCAGTCAATGTAGCAATCCTTGAGGTACTTGGGGTGATGCCCATCTCTGTTTTACTTGGCCCCATTCATGGGCTTCCGGTAGACTGCACGTCACTGCTCTCATCACATCACTTGCAAAGTATGGAGGACAATGGGAGCATGAGTAGCTATTCAGGCTTCAGCCAAGCAGCACTCAGGAAGCCATGTAGGAAGTGAACACAGTAGGTTACCCTCTTTTTCAAAAAATTATCTGCAATTGAATATATATGAAGCTTTTCAGGCCACTCACATGAAGACAACTTACCCTTGAAGGAGCATGAACCACAGCTTCACAAATGAAGGAAACTGATATATAGTGTGTGTGTGTGTATATATATATATATATATATATATAGTGTGTGTGTGTGTGCATATGTATGTGTATATATGTATATATGTATGTATTCCCATTGTCTGTTGGTGATGGTAATACATCTCCTGATTGTGATAAAGCTGAAAGATGATATTTCTGTCTATTATGCAATGAAAGAATCTGAGTAGATCAGAGAAAATCCCAAACCGTCTGCCCAACTGTGGGAGATGCTCAGAGATCAGAGGCTTTAGGTTAGGACCAGCTATGGTCCATGGTGCTGTGAGCACAAGAYAGCACAAATCCTGCTTGAGATTGAAACCAGAAGCTGGCAGGGGACCTGACCCCAAGGAGAGGTGTCGCATGGGACTCAGTCCATGCTGAAGAGCAACCACTCAGGTGTGGTCTCTAACAGCTCTCAGGCTTGGTGAAACAAAAGTTGATGCCCCCAAAGCGACAGCGGAGCTTGGTAAAAATGGCATTGTGATTGCCTCCTTACACCTATGTACATACCCAGTGGGACTCAGCCAGCATCATTTTGTATCTGCAGGTTTCTTGATTCCTGAAAACTTCCAAGATTGCAAGCGTTTTTGCTTCATGTTATCAGAAGTCTTCAACACGCACACAAGCAAACAACAAATATTAAGGAAGGTGCAGCCGCAGTGGCTGCCTCTTCCCCTGCCCATACAGATCAGTGAAACCACTGAACCTTCCATGTTTGCAGACGTATTTGTAAAAAGCAAAAGTAGAAGCATTTGAAGATAAACTACCATAGCATTGGGGTTTGTTCTAAAGTACTTAGCTCAGCAAGTGATTTGAATATAGCTCAGCTCTCTCCTCAAATGTGGGAATCTCCACTTGAAATCCTGGGTGCTTGGACACTATCGCTTCTGTTCCAGACTCATCCTGACATGCAATGATGTTGCACAAAGCAGCAGATGAGCCCGGGAGGAGCACATGTGGATGACACGGGCTGCAGTGGGGTGGCAAATTCTGCATTCCTGGCGATAAGAGAAGCCAGAGCGGACCATACAGTTGCATCTACGGCCTCCCAGCTGGGGCAAGGCTCAACAACAAGCCCCAAAGCACGATGGAGACACAAAATAATGAAGACAAACGGCACTGTCATGCAGAAATGATAAGAAGTGGTGAGATTCCTGCTCTTATCCAAGCAAACCTTCAAGCACCTTGTCTTGGGAAACCATTTCAGTTCTCTCACCTATGATAAAAAGGGGAGGTCCTAACTGAGGGTTAAAAATGGGAAATCCTGCAGCTGAAACCATACTTCTCACAGGGAGGGAGATATCACCTCCACATTGACAGAACACCAACAGTTCCAAGAAAGTGCCAGACTTCACAGAAATGACTGCATTTTAAA